AGGAACTTCTTCTTTTTTTAAATATGTTTTTATTGGTTTCAGAGAGGAAGGGAGAGGGAGAGGGAGAGAGAAACATCAGTGATGAGAGAGAATCACGGATCGGCCGCCTCCTGCACGCCCCACACTGGGGACGGAGCCCACAACCCGGGCCTGTGTCCTGACCAGGAATCGAACCCTGACCTCCCGGTTCAGACGCTCACCCACTGAGCCGCGCCGGCCGGGCCTCAGAGCCTTCTCACTGTAAGTCACGTCTGCACACGTCCCCCAGCGGCTGCTCCGGGACCTCCTCCGCTCCCTCGGGGGCCACTGCACCCCCCAACCCCCGGCTCCTCCTGCGGCTCTTCCCACCCCAGCACCCTGGTCTGCAGTCCGGCCCTCTGTGCCCCAGCCCCTGCCCACGGGGCCCCTCTCTCCATGGGGACCGCCAGGAGACCTGTTGGGAGCCCTCCAGCTGCTGGACCCCCTCGCCCTGCTGTGGCCTGAGGACCCCCTCAACGTGCTGTGGCCTGAGGACCCCCTTGCCCTGCAGTCCCTGTGGGACCCCCTCGCCCTGCAGTCCCTGTGGGACCCCCTGGCCCTGCAGTCCCTGTGGGACCCGCCCTGGGGCGCTGGGCGGCGGGCCAGGGGCTGTCCGATCAGTGGGCTGAGGTCCCCGAGCTGAGCTTCTCGTCTCTAAGCTGCGGATCCAGCGTTTCCCGCCCAACCTGCTCGTCAACCAGGTGCTGCCCGTCCGCTTCCTGCCAAGTGGCCTGCGGGTCCGGCTGACTGACCGCAGGTTTGCACACGACACACACCTGGAGTTTAACACGACACCTGCCCTAGCACGGCCCGTGCTCTCTGCCCGTCTCCTCTCCGACTTCAGCTGCAGATCTGATGGTCCTGTCACCTATGATGGCTCCCAAGTAACTTGAATGCACCCGTGGGAGCTGCGCTCACAGGAGGAGGAGGCCGCAGTGCGTCCCCGTGTCAGGCCCACGGGCAACAGGGACCCACACTCTGTCTCTGTCTCTCCTGTTCTCCTACTTGTCTCCCAGTCCACTCGCTCTAACGTTACAGAGTGGAAAAATGTAGCAAGTTTAAAGGAAGATGTCATGTGACAGCCACATATTTGCTTTGATATTGTTTGTTTACTGTCTTCAAAACTACTCGTAAATTATCTGGCCGGATATTTGTGTATCTTTTATTTATCATTTAAAAATTTTACTTTACAAAGTGAAATTGTCCACTGTCTTTTCAGTTTGGAAGAAACTATCTTATCTTTTATGTTCACTGCATCCACAATAACTTCATACGACAAAGTCCAGAATCCAGTCTTTAATACCACAGACAGGCTAACAACAGTGGGCTTTTGCTCTGCAGGGAGTTAGAAATGTCGTTATTTTTATATAAAATAATTGCATGCTGTAAGGAATGTTAAACTGAATACATTACGTAATTTCGGAAGAAAAAGTGCCCATAAAATATCCCCTAAGATATCTGAGCAGCCGAAGGGAGGGCACCTGGGGAGAAGCTCGATGTCGGGGGTTAGATCTGGCGAGGGTCCCAGTGACCCCCACTTATGCCGGGTCAGAACCGAGCCTCTCCGTGAAGCAGTCACCGCACCCTGATACCTACCAGCAGGCAGGCCCACACCGTCCACAGAGTCGTTCTACACGTTTAGTGGAGCCCCGACTGGCTCCTGTTTGTTAGTTGCTCAGTTCATGGCACTGAATTTGGGGGTCGGAGGGGCAACAACGACTCAGAACCATCACGGATCTTCTTGTTACAGATCCTAGCTCAACCCCCGGCCAGCCGATCGCCCGCATCGGCAGCCACGCCCGCGTGAGCCAGAGGCCCGCGTCAAGGACAGTCACCAAGGCTGCAGGTGACCTTGACTCTCACCCAAGGGCAACCCTACATCCTCCTTGGCTTTGCGTGCCTCCGCCTCCACCCCACTTGGTGGCTGAGATTTTCACATTTATTTATAAGGAACAATGGCTGGATTCACCTCTCGGGGTTGGGCTGGGCGCCCCCCTTTGCTGCGGCTTCATCGGGTGACTCTGAGACGCACAGTAGGAGCAGACCCCACACACTCACCCACGTGGAATCGGGGAGGAGACGAGCCGCGTCCCGCCCCTCCTTTGCTCGCTCTCTCCGGCGACATAATGTGATTTTCACCGTAAGCCAGAACCCTCCTACATAAGCACCTACGTCACTCACATGGAGCACAGACACAGCAGTAATGAAGGGAAACAGAAAAAAAACGTAAAAGAAAGATAACAATTCCTGACCTTTACTCGTGGTAAATAATAAAAACATAAAGCACATACGCACATACGTCGCAATGACGGAACTTTTTTTGTTTTATAAATAAATGGGAGATGGCGACATACATCGAGTCTGATGTGATCCGAGGACTGTCTGTACTTTGACTCGTACGGATGTTAGGACTTGATTTTGGGCAACATCAGTGTCTGCCTGTCAAACAGGAAGCGGGTGGTTTATGGATGATCTTGTGGTGGTGACAAGGAGGACGGTGGTGTACTGAGCGGACGGTGACCTCAATACTCGAAAGAACTGGGCCCTTTTACAAGGTGATCAGTAGAAGCCAGAGCCGCAGGCTGGGCTGTGACAGGGGGATCAGCAGCCGCTGGAGGCGAAGCCGTTGGGGTGGCAGAACCCAGACCCATAGCTCAGGGGAGGGAACCCACAGACCCCGTCACCCAGGGGCCTGAATCTAGGGGACCCACAGCCCAGAGAGCAGCTGCCGGGCCCACAGCACAGAGCCCCAGGTTGGGTCCTGGACCGCAGGGTGAGGGGGTCCTGGGGCCACAGTGGGGTGTCCGGCAGCTGGGGGGCTCCCAGCAGGTCTCCTGGAAGCCCCTGTGGAGAGAGGGGCCCTGTGGGCAGGGGCTGGGGGCACAGAGGGCAGGGCTGTAGACAAGGTTGCTGGGGTGGGAGCCACAGGAGGAGACTGGGGTGCTGGGGGCCCCCGAGGGAGCGGGAGGAGAGGGTCCCGGAGCAGCCGCTGTGGGACCTGGTGGCAGAGACGGGGTGCAGCTGAGGGTCTGAGTGTGGGTGTCGCTCTGGACAGTGGTGTTTCTCCTCTGGCCACGGGTGCGGCCCATGAGGGGGGTGTCTCTGGCCCATGATGGGGTGCAGCATCGGATTGCTGGGTGCACGTGTGGGACTCAATGCTCTTCCTGGGATCGCAGTCACACTGGGGCCGTTGGCAGGCGTTGCGTTTATGGTGGATGGTTCTGTGTGACCCCAAAGCCCAGGACCTGCTGTGGCTGTGGACACGAATGCATGTCCATGTGGCCAGGCCCGCGTCCCAGCCGGGAACCTCGGGGCTCCTGAGTCGCTCCCCAGGGGCCCGCGACTGGCTGGCTGGTGGGTGATCTGTTCCGAGGGGAGTGGGGGGTGACATCGCTTTCCTTCCGGTTCAATAGTTCAGAGGCTTGATTCTCAGCGGCTGGGAGCCTTCCTGGGAGGGTCCGTCTCATCTCAGGTGTCCTCACTCTCCCCGGTGACCTGGTCTCCCCCTCACGCCCCGCCGTTAGGGCAGCAATGAGAGCGAGGACACCAGGCAGGTGGGTCTTACGGACACGATGCTGTGGACATGGCTCCTCCCACATTTTTTCTGTTTTCAGACAGACCTCTTTATAGTCACCTGGATGTTGGGCCAAGGGCACAGCTTCAGTTTCGCAGAATGAAGGCGCCGTGGAGATTTAACGTACAGTGTGTGGCTGTAGTTAAAGGTGCTACCATGTTGCAGACTTGAGATTTGCTGAGAGAGTGATGGTGCGTGTTCCCACCACATCCACACACACAAACCATAACCGTGAGAAATGAAGGTGCGTGAATTAGTTTGATTTCGGTCAGATTTTCACAATCCATACCTACATCAAAACATGGTGCACCTTAAGCATTCACAGCGTTTACTTGTCACTTAAACTTAAAATAAAAGAGTCTTGCCCTGGACAGTGTTGCTCAGTGGGTTGGGCTTTGTCCCAGGCACCAGGGGTTGTCTGTTCGATTCCTGGTCGGGGCACATGCCCAGGTTGTGGGCTCCATCCCCAGCAGGGGGCGTGCAGGAGGCAACCGATTGCTGTTTCTCTCTCACATTGATGTTTCTCTCTCTCCCTCTCCCTTCCTCTCGCTCAGAAAATCAATCTATATATATAAAAGCCCAAGCAACTGTTCAACCGTTCAACCAGTAGCTATGACGTGCACTGACCACCAGGGGGTAGATGCTGAACGCACAGGCATGGAAACATGAAACAGACTGATGAACCTCAGAGGGAAGGGGGGAGGGGGTGGGTGGGAAGAGATTAACCAAAGATCTTCTATGCACACCAGAGGCTCAGTGCACGGATTCGTGCACCAGTGGGGTCCCTCGGCCTGGCCTGCGCTCTCTCTCAATCCGGGACCCCTCGGGGGATGTCGGACTGCCGGTTTCGACAGGGGGACCCCACTGGTGCACCAATCCATGCACTGGGCCTCTAGTAAAACTATAAAAAACTAAAAGATTCTTGAAGATAAAGCGTAAGGGTTCAGTGGGGAGATGCATGTATGAGACACACCCAGGGCATTCAGTGGCTGTGTCTCCGTGGCTTCCGGCTCCTGTCCACGGACCCGGCTCCGGGAAGCTGTCTTCCTTCCCTTCGTCTCCAAACGTAACAACTTCATCTGCATCGAGTTAACACAAATGTCCGAAGGATGTGTAACCCTGCCCCCTGCCCCCAGCCCGGAACTGAATTAAGCCAGATACACTGTTTGTTCTGTATCACAAACCTCCCCCATCCTATTTTGTACCTGGGCCATTGACCAACAGTAAAAATGGACACATTCTCGCAAAAATGTCCCCTCTGGCCGTGCGCCCGGCGGTGATGGCCGTTTTGATCGCTCGGCGCTTGTCTTCCTTCCCTTCGTCTCCAAACGTAACAACTTCAACTGCATCGAGTTAACACAAATGTCCAAAGGATGTGTAACCCTGCCCCCTGCCCCCTCCCCCCAGCCCGAAACTGAATTAAGCCCGGTACATTGTTTGTTCTGTATCACAAACCTCCCCCATTCTATTTTGTACCTGGGCCATTTACCAACACGTAAAAATGGACACATTCTCGCAAAAACGTCCCCTCTGGCTGTGCGCCCGGCGGTGACGGCCGTTTTGATCGCTCGGCGCGTCACTGGGCCGTGAACAAATTGGCTTTGATGTTTGAGCTGTTTTTCCAGCAGAATCGCGTCCATCCTTGCAGCCACCCACTGCTCTTCTCCAAATTACCCGTGACCTTGTCACCGACACGCTGGGGGGCAAAAGCCAAATTCCGGTCAAAGATTCTCCTTAATCACGTTGAATTAATCACCAGCCGAAAAACACGCGCTTTATCCCGCCAGCGTGGTGAGAGGACTTGGAGTTCTGCCTTTAAAGAACACTTTATTGGGCCACGTTACCCGGCTGGTCTCCCCCGTGTGCCGCACGCAGGAATTACACCACAGCCCATCGCTGCGCCATAGGCTCCTGGCATTTTCCCCGGGGACCCTTCTACTAAGCTTCATGAGGTGGAGACACAGTGAAGGTTTCTCAACAAACTTATCAGCGAGGCGTCCACGTGTGTTTTCCTATAAACTGTCCAGAAGCAACGGCTGAGCCCACGGACACAGTGACTGCCTCAGCCCTGTCCCTCGCTCCAGCACGTCTGCACACACTTGCCCGTGTCCCTTTTTCCTATAAACTGTCCAGAAGCAACGGCTGAGCCCATGGACGCAGTGGCTGCCTCGGCCCTGCCCCTCGCTCCAGCACATCTGCACACACTTGCCCGTGTCTCTCTGCCCCGGCCGCCAGGGAATTCAGTGGCTGAGACCC